TTTGGAACTTAGGGATGGATAAGAGACTCGGGATTGGCACCATGTAGGTGTTTAAATGGCATCTTTTGGAAAATGTTAACATAGTGAGATGAAACTTCCATCTGTCAGCCTGGTTCTCTTTAAACCCAACAGATCACCCTTCAGGTGTAGTAGGAACTGCCGATGCTGGAGAATCTGAGATAACAAGGTGTAGAGCTGGATGAACACAGCAGGCCAGAAGGGTCCAAACCCGAAACATCAGCTTTCCTGCTCCTCTGATGCTGCCTGGCCTGCTGTGTTCGTCCAGCTATACACCTTGTTATCTCAGATCCCCCTCCAGGTATGTCCATAATGCACTGAAATGAATGGAGGTGCAGGATTGCACTCATTGGAAAAATCTAGCTTATTGTTCGAACACTATTGTGTGGAAGGGATCACGCTTCATATAAATCATAGATCAGGAGTGCCAGATGGTTATTTAACTATGGTAGGCATCATCAATTTAGGTTAACCTTGTCCTCAGCTGATACCTAATCTGATTGCTTTTCTCTCCTTAGATGAGAGGCAGCTCGACAAAAAATGTCAGCTGCAATTGTAGCTAAATTTCAAACTGGACCCTAAGGGGACAAGTTCGTTCGGAAAACTTGTTCTTTAGGCGGAAAATATGCAGAGCTGAGAGAGCTGTAAGTAAATGTAAGCGAACGATAAAATAATTTTGGCTAGTATTCTTGGAAGCTGGCTAAGGAAGAGCAGAAAGAGTACACTTGGTGCTCGAAATCTCTGTATTAAACTATTGGTGATATATGACAAAATGATAGAGAACAGATGCAATGAGTTATCCCAAAACAGAAACAAGGTTCAGCTTTGGCAGATTTTCAATTCAAGGTACTTAAAGGCATTTTGAGCTCTGCCAAGTCCCTTTTCTCTGTTAAGCCATATCTACAGATGTTTCTCATGTATATAGCATGAACGGATATCAACCATCAAAACAGAATTCCAAACACTGATCCCAAACAAAACAAATCCATAATAAGTACCAATCAGATTCAGCTGTAAGAAGGAGACTTTTTAAACACATGATGCATTTCGTAAGTTGTTACATGTCGTGAAACTATAATGCAGCTTTAGCCAAGGAAAGGGGATTATTCTCTGGCCCAGTGGTAGCAGTCTTGCCTGTGAGCAAAGACCCCTGACGAGACAAGACCAAAATATGGGCTGCACTCACGTGCAACACTGGGCAAGTGCGGCAATTCTGAAGGAACCAACATTCACATAAGATGTGAAACTGAAGCCGTCTGGTGTATATAAAAGCTTCCATGGCCACTACTGCAGTACCAGGAGGGAAGGTGTTTCAGTGTCCTGGTCCAACATTTATCCATAAACCAACGCAGGCTAGAAAATTTACCTGCTCCTTTCTCACATTGCTATCTCTGGTAGCTTCCTATGTGCAAGCTACCTTACCACATTGCCCCACACGATAACAGTGACTATACTTCAAAACCAGTTCAATGGGGATGAAACCTTCTGGGATGTTTCAGCGCACTGTTTTGAGGAGCAGGAGAGTTCTCCCTATGCCAATATTTGTCCCACTGCTAGCATCATCAAAGCAGATTTTCTGGAGTTGAATTTTACAGTTGCCCCAATGGCACATTTGAAGATGGGGTAGGTTCAAAACATAAAACGAGTGGCTAAGCCTGTTGTCTGACCTGCCTCCCAGATCACAGTGGGAGGGTAAGATGTCAGGCAGCCCATCCACCTTTAGGCCCAGTGAGGCCCTTACACCAATTATCGACCTCATTCTACCTCAGCTACGATAATACACACAGGATCACAGAGTTGCTAGAATGCATGAGGCCATTCAGCCTGTCGTGTCTAAACATGAAGCAGGGGAAGGCCAAGGCAAAACAGAAGCTTGGCAGTTTTCACTCAGCTGATTACATTTGGGCAGGAAGTGGAGGTTTACTTCCTTTGCGAGTGTCCCCTGTGCCCACTGGAGGTAGCCCCCTAGTACATTCTTTTAAGCCCCAGCCCATGGTTTGCCGGGCAGGCCAGTCCAAAATCCCCACTTACCAGGATCCACGGCAACACCTCACTGCTGGAAATATACTTGGATTGGCTGATAGCTCTTTAGGGTGGGACTTACTCCAATGGCAGCCATGCCTTCAGTCACATTGGTCCTAAGCTCTGGAATTCCTTCCCTAAACTTCTTCACCTCACTCTTCCCTTCTTTAAAACGTTCTTTAAAACCTACTATTTTGACCAAACATTTGGTGGCCTGTCCTCATTATCTCCTTGTGGCTTGTTGTCAGAGTCATAGAGCTGTAAAGCACAGGAACAGACATTTCAGTCTAACTTGTCCACGCTGACCAGATATCCTAAATTAATCTAGTCCCATTTGCCAGCATTTGGCCCACATCCCTCTAAACTCTTCCAATTCATATACCCATCCAGATGCCTTTTAAATGGTGTAATTGTACCAGCCTCCACCACTTCCTCTGGCAGCTCATTCCATACACACACCACCCTCTGCGTGAAAAGTTGGCCCTTAGGTCCCTTTAAATCTTTCCCGTCTCACCTTAAACCTATGCCCTCTAGTTTTTGACTCCCCTACCCTGGGGAAAAGACCTTGGCTATTCAGCCTGTCCATGCCACTCATGACTTTATGAACTTTTATAAAGGTCACCCTCAGCCCCCGATGGTCTGCGGAAAATAGCCCCAACCTATTCAGCCTCCCCCTATTGCTCAAACCCTCCAAGCCTGGCAACATCCTTGTAAACCTTCTCTGAGCCCTTTCAAGTTTCACAACATCTTTCCTATAGCAGGGAGACCAGAAGTGCATGCAGTATTCCAAAAGTGACCTCACCAATGTTCTGTATAGCCGCAACATGACCTCCCAACTCCTACACACGATGCACTGACTAATAAAGGCAAGCATACCAAATGCCTTCTTCACCATCCCGTCTACCTGTGTCTCACTTTCAAGGAACTACGAACCTGCACCCCAAGGTCTCCTTGTTCAGCCACACTCCCCAGGACCTTACCATTAAGTGTATATGTCCCACCCTGATTTGCCTTTCCAAAATGCAGCATCTCATATTTACCTAAATTAAACCCCAACTACCACTCCTCAGCCCATTGGCCCATCTGATCAAGGTCCCATTGTACTCTGAGGTGACCTTCTTCGCTGTCCATTAACCCCCCAACTTTGGTGTCACCTGCAAACTTACTAACCATACCCTCATAATTAGTGGCATATAGCCTGATGCTACAGTGGCATTTTCTTCCACCTATTGAAGATGAGAATATGTCATCTTGCTAAGTCCATTAAACCACAGTGCATGTAAGATGGATCATAACTCCTGACATTCATGGATTCAAATCATGGCAAGGCAACAGAGTACTGGAGGGTTTAGACAATGTCAAAAGCATAACAGTGAGGCTTGTGGTATTCAAGTTACAGCTCTGCAAACAAAGCCTTTGAAAACAGCATTCCTTGGTTAATAAATGATGAAAAGCAGTGGTCCCAACACGAATTCTTGTGGCACACTGCTGGTCACAGGCCTCCGTCACCTTCTACTTCAAGCCAGCTTGGTATCCAAATGGCACTTCTCCCTATATTCCATGTGACTTGATAATGCTCCTGTGAAGCTCAATGTTCTAATGGCTCCACATAAACATGAGCTGCTAGTTTCAAGAAGCATGTTTTTTTTGTCTGATGGCTATTTTAATCAGAACTCACTAAGCATATACATGCTCTTTCATTCATCAGTCACGCTTCAACACTTTACCCTCAAATGAATCCAACACACAGTTTGTGTCAATCTACCTGTCATTCCTAATCTAGCCTACAACCAGTTAATTTGGTCTCAAACCCTTTTCCACCCACATTTTTGGGAATATAAAACAATGAAAAGGAGGACCTTTTCATGTTAGCTGGTCCGCTATCAGTAAAGATAACATATTCTAGCTGCTGGTATTGCTGTCTCTGATTGCATTAGTAACAAACCACAAGTGGGTTCAGGTACCTGTAGATACTTACTTTTTATTCACTTTATGTACCTGACAGTATCACTGTTAGATTCAAATCCACCAGCCACAGTGGTATGATGAGGGGAAGGAACCTTAAACTAGTTCTGACTCTTAAATATTTACACTGAGAAACAGCAGCCAGGCCGGATTTATCAGCTACATTGCTGCGTTAGCAGGGTTCTATCCAAGAACAAAGAAATAAAATCCTGCCTTCCCTTGTGCTGCTCTGGTGAACAGCAAGTTCTTTCTTTTGCTGTCAGAATCCTAAAGATTGAACAGACCCTTTCTGATAAATCTGGATGGAAGTCAAGATAGACTGGGTCAGTGAATTAACTTCCGAAAGCAAAGGCCTTGTCTGATAACTTCCTCTCTAACCTATTTATTGGCTGCTTATACTCAGCTATCACAGGTCAGTATTTTACATTTACATCGACTGGAGCTGACAAGACATGAACCAGCAAATCTGAATTGTTACGTAGTACAGTGATCTTTTGAGTTATGCTTTGAACTGCGTGGTTTTTAATACCAGGGGCATTTTCTAATTAATCGAGGAATGCTGTTTTCAAAGGCTTTGTTTGCAGAGCTGTAACTTGAATACCACAAGCCTCACTGTTATGCTTTTGACATTGTCTAAGCCCTCCAGTACTCTGTTGCCTTGCCATGAGTTGAATCCATGAATGTCAGGAGTTATGATCCAGCTTACATGCACTGTGGTTTAATGGACTTAGCAAGATGACATATTCTCATCTTCAATAGGTGGAAGAAAATGCCTCTCTAGCATCAGGCTATATACCACTAATTAAAACTCACTAAGCATTAAACCAAGTAAATGGACTGTGCTAGACAGAAATGACACAGGCAGCTTTATTTCTCCTGTGTTGACTCACAGCACAAAACAAGCCCTTGAAACCCTATTTACTAACATGCAGCTTATTGCTGATATCTTCAGCCTGACTGCTATATTTGTGCAAGAATTCCCAAGTTAGAGCTTCAATTCCTTAAGCCTCACCACTGGCCTCATTTGTTCGAACCACATCAATAATTAAACGAAGGTTCTCTCTTCGGCCCTGGAGACTTTCTACGTCTGTGTTAAGGAAAGACACATATTGATTAGAAAGAGTCTCAAGATTCACTCTCCCGAGTGTCCAATGATGCTGAACCCAAATGAATTATCTAAAATCCCAAAATATACCAGCAGAAGCAAAACAGACGTAAACAATATTCAAATACAGGCTCCTTTAGAGCTTAATAGGATCAACAGCCCCTCTAACAGGAACCTAGTAAGGCAGGAAAGATGAATGGACAAATTGAGTTTGGAAAGGAAATTAAATTGATGGCTCTGGAGAGGGAAGGCTGTGGGATTGGTGTGTTAAGGCTGATTAAACAATAGTAGGAAATGGGTAGATTTGACAGAGAGTAGCACGGAAATGGAACACCCAGGAGATTGCACTATATTGAAAACAAACTGACAACTCAGAATGACAAAGAACCCACGTCAAATGCAAATGCACATCTTTGGCAAATGTCCAAAACTCCTATTTTTCTTGTATTAGCTTGAATGCCAAAGGAACAGTCAGTTGCACAACATTTTGACCAAACTCCAATGTCTTGGAAATTACGTGTAGAATTTAAAGAAAAGCATTTCCAACTTCATAAATATTTTTATGGTCCTAATTATAAAGATGGGCATTAAAATTTATCATATTTCCCAGATACATGATCAATTTAAGTTGACACTTTTCATTTTGTAGCAACAATTTGTAGTGCAGTTAGATAGAACCTTTAACATAAAAAATGCTCCAAGGCGATTCATAGAAGTGTTATCAAACAAAAATTTGACATGAAGCCACATTAGGTGTCATTAACAAGCAAACTTCAAAGATGTTAGGCTCCAAGAAGTGTCTTAAAGCAGGAGAGAGTAGAGAGAGATTTATGGAGGGAATTCCAGAGTTTAGGGTCTCGGTTGATCTTGACAATGGAAATTCTGTACTGAGACATTACCAGGACTCTGATGGTCAGCAGAGGTAACTATACTCTTAGTGAAAGAAAAAGAAACAGGTTTAAAACACAGCCACAAGGCTGTGACACTATGTGGGAGAGAAATAAGGCTCCCTTTGCAATGCTAGTACATGTGCTTTAAGCTCAAGATTGAAATTTCTACAAATCAAGATTTATGATCAATAATCCCAGTTTTAAAACAATCTATTGACACCTCAAGTACAGTGCCAACTGGAAACTTTATACTTAACATTTCCCCATATAATTTGGCTTTCACTTTATAAGAAACCTAAAATACGAGAGTCAGTGATCTGAATTTGAGGTAGCATTATTTTAATTGGTTTCAGAATGTTTTCACCAATTTTTCCACAGAAAAGATTTTGAAAAGGTAACTTTTAAATATGTTTCAAAACAAGGGCCATCATACAATTTACAAATGCCAGCGAAATGATGTGTGGCTAACATGCAAACGAGTTAATTGGTGGTGTTACTCCCTCAGAGACTGTAAATAATAAAGTTGGTTAGCCTGTTTCAACAATCAGTAAACACCCCACAATCATCGTGTTGGGATGCCTCTAGTTCCTTCTTGGCGGTAAACAAAGAAAGATTAAAAATAAAACACTTGACAGAGCCAGTGAGGGCTGAAAAGTCAAACAGGCTTTTAGATGGAATGCTGCCTGAGCAAGCTTTGATCATGTTCTAAAGAATAGCGATCAGTTATTTTAAATCTACGAGGGCAACCCGCAGATATGCAACCATGTGACTAGTTCATTATTTTATCTTATTACATGCAGAAAAGTTACATTAATTGAGAAAGATTAACTTGATCTTAACATTACTGTGCATGTTCACTTGCTGTGAAATAAAGTAATGCATTAGTTTCTATTTGGCCTCATCCACAGATCAGGTATTGTATCGGTCTCTATCTGTCAGTACAGATCCCAAGGTACCAGGACATTGTGGGAATGGAGGGTTGGAGATATAAAAATAGACTGGAAAAGCTGGGACTCTTTTCCACTGGAGCATAGGAGATTGAAGTGTAACCTTATTGAGGTTTATAAAATCATGAGGGGCATAGGTAAGGTGCATGACAAGGATATTTTCCCTATGGTAGGGGAGTTCAAAACTAGGATGCATATTTTTAAGTTGAGAGGAGAAAGATTTGAAAAGGACATGAGGGGCAACTTTTTATTTTAAACAGAGTGGTTGTATGTAGAATGAACTGCCAGAGGAAGTGGCGGGTGCAGATACAGTTACAACATTTTAAAGATATTTGGATAAGTTCATGAATAGGAAAGGTTTGGAGCGATATGGGCCAAGCACAGGCAGGTGGGACTAGTTTAGTTTGGGAACATGATCAGTGTGGACTCGTTGGACCAAAGGGTCTGTTTCCATGCTGTATCGCTCTATAACTCTAAGGGAAGATTGATCTCACAGGCCAAGGTTAGACTGAAATATACAGTTAGAAACTGGGCAGTTACAGCACACTTCTAAACTTAAGACATTTTTGGAAGCCCTGTTGCACCCTATATAATAACTCCAATAATTTCTTAAACTTGGAACGGTAATTTACTTACAAATTCTGAAGAAAGACATTGTCCATTGTCTGATTTTTCCAGCATGAAATACAGAAAATATTTATGACCACACAGGGATATCATTGACTTCTCAATGCATGTTGGATGTGAGAATTCTTGCTGGAATTTGTGACTTACAGCTAAACAGCTGCAAAACTTACAAACTGCAACGTGTATCTGTATGTAATCTGCATTGCTTAATCAAGCTCACATCTAAATAAGCCACCTGTTGAACTCTTGGATGAGGTGCAAGACACTAAGTGAAGAAAAGGAAACTTATTGCTCCTATTCAAGCTCAAGATGTCCTGTGGGATAAAAACACTCAAGTGCTCCTGGTAGTGACGAAGTCCATCTGAGTTGGAAAACCACTTTGCAAAGCAAACGTTGTCATTATCTGGAATTCTCATTAACATCAGGAATCAATGTGACTATACAGTTCTTAAATAATCAGATATGGCAGTCTGAATCTGAGCTCCTCCTCAGTCTTGTGCAAAAGTCAGAAATAGAGTGAGGCAAATCTATCTTTACTTCCGAATCAAAGTAAACAAGACAGTGCCATAATGAGCAATGGTGAAAAAAATCTCTTGTTTTCATTGATACATGTACTAAACAACACATCCAGTTGAAGCATTTAGCTCCAATCATTGCAGTAAAGGAAAGGCTGAAAGAAAAGTACTTTGCAGCCAAAATGGTAGCCTGCTTCGTTCCAGAATCCATTCTGTTTGGTTACACGTATACACGTTGGGAATGGAAAAAGGCAGTGCTGCCATTATAATGTAACATAAACATGAAGTGGAGTAAGGAAAATATTCGGTTTAAAAAGAATGCTCACTCTAGACAGTTCTCATTTCTATTATTCAGTGACGCTCTTTTTTGGACGATGCTGCTTAACAGATCTTAAAGATTAAAAAATATCTTGCACAATATGCCAGGGTTCCAGACAGTTATATGATGTTACACATGGCTGTATAAAACATAACTAGAATTCCATTGCTATTTTAATATTTTCTCTCCAGTGGTAAATGATAGATCACAAAAATACTCAATGTTGCTCCATACATGAAATATTGTTGTTGCACACAACTCATTTGGTCAGTCTTCTATCCTTACTGAAATTTAGCTGCTGCTATTCCATGCCAAGCTGTGCGGACCAATCAGGCCTGACCTTGCTGACTCTCAGTGACTCCATCCCCTACTCCCCAGTGCTTCAAATGTGAAATTTTCATCTAGTATAGGAGATTTTAAAATGGCTTTAAAATCTATTAGTTACCTTCACCAGTATTATGCTCATTTAACGAGTTGGTGCAGACACGATGGGCTGAATGGCCTCTTTCTGCATAGTAAAACTTGCAGTGATTACAGTCTCTCTTAACTCTTTGCTCCTCGGACTCCAGGAACTAATGCATTCCCATACCATCTTCCCACTGCAGGCAGTCCTTGTCTTTAAATCGCGCCAAAGCACACGTGTAGGGTTCTATCCCTGAGCTCCCTCACCTACATTCAGCATCTCAGTAAACCCAAACCTCTTTGACCAAGCTTCTCAGGCATTTCATAATTCAAGTCAGCATCCAACTGCTTCCGAGCGTGCCTTCCATTGTTTTTAATCATTTTTAGTGATTATAGATATGCAAATTGTTCCCACAATACCAAATGACTGTGGGTTTTGTTTTTATCTCCAAGAGTAGTTTTGTTAAAAATAATGCAGATGATCGAATATTGGATTATAAACAGAAAGGCTGTAAATATGCAGCTGGCCCAGCAGCATTTGTGGAGAGAGAAACAGTGAAGATTTTAGGTTAATGACCTTTCAAGAGCACCTATCAATGCAGTTGAAAAAGTCAGAAACCTGAAATGCTAATTCTTTTTCTCCCCACAGCTGCTGCCAGGCTTGCTGAGATCTTCTAGCATTTTCTGTTTTTATTTCAGAATTCCAGCATTTGCAGTCTTTTACTTTTGCATTCAGAGTTGTACACAGATGTTTCTTACAAGGTGAAGCTTTGATCATAATGTGAAAGCTGTAATGGGGCTTTAGGTACCACGAACATTCAGTAACAAGTAAGCCTGCTTGCTTTCCCAGCACCATCAGTTGCAAGGACACCCCACAGTCATTCCATAATGAGCATACTGAACGATCAGTGACAGCAAGGCATTAGCTAGGCTGACTTGCTCCCCATACTATCGTACTTGCAACTGTGATTTGTTTATTCCCTTTGAAGTTTTTACCAGTTTATGCTGGCAGTGGTGGTGTTGGGCGGGGGTGAGGGGCTGGGGTGGGAGAGAAGAAGGAGGTGGTGGTGGTGGTATCATTTGGAGCAGTACCTTAGACTACCAGGGTGCCGTGCAGGGGAATCTCATTGCTTAGCTTTAAAATATGCCTGCCTCCGAGTCCTAGCTGAGTTACTGTAAGGATGTAAAAACTGAATGTTGGGCACTTTTCTGGAACTGGGTTCCAGAAACATGTAGCTCAAAAGCAGCTTACTGAGAAGGGATAGAAAGTGGGAGAATACCATATTTGAGAGATCACCCCCATTGACAGCAAAGCAATGGGGCATGGGAGGAAATAAAACAAATCAACAGTCAGTGACAAAGAGATGAGAGGGAGGGAGTGAAGAGTTGATAGTTACTTATTTCCAGAGTAGTTTCCTACCTGTGGAAGTCCTGCTGCAGAGATATGCTGAAACCAGGTATAATGTCCACCTGAAGCAATGTTTTCAGCGGTGATTTGAAGGGAGTCTCAGAGTTTAAGGAGCGGAAGGTGCTGAAGTCATGTGTGCCCAGCAGGATCTGTGCAGCCTCTTTCATGATGTCTGTGTTTAAAGGTCTGTTTCAGAACAGAGGAGTTGATCACTAATCATGTTAGCAGGACAATGCAGCAAATAATGCATCAGGTGATATCAACCACAGCCTTTTGGAGTCAACCGCCATCTCAACACAAACTCAGTTGGGCTTGACAGGTTCCTGTTTTCCGTCATGGTTTATGCACTCAAAATTGAACAGTGTGAAGCAATTACATTCTTACCACACCACAAAAACAGATTTAAAATTCAAACACGACTAACAGCAAACCATAACTCCCTTTCCTGACTCTGCAGTTTTTAACCCTCTACTAATCTAACATGCAATTGGGATATAGTTCTACATGAACGCACTACATCCAGTACTTCAACTAAGTATGCACTGTAGAGCTTCTATGATTCCATCTCTTCATTATTTCAAATCATAATGACAGATCTGTTGTAATTCTTTGAGGAGGTAATGAGCAAGTTAGACGAAGGAGAGCCAGCAGACATGATCTACTTGGATTTTCAGAAGGCCTGTCACAAGGTGCCGCACAGGAGGCTGCTAAATAAGGTAAAGGCAAGGTACGGGCATGGATAGAGAATCGGCTGATTGGCAGAAGGCAGAGAGTAGGAATTATGGGGTCTTTTTCAGGATGGCAGCCAATGACTAGCGGAGTGCCACAGTGTCAGTGTTGTGATCACAACTATTCATGTTATACATGAACAATCTGGACAAAAGAACTGAGGGCATTGTTGCTCTGTTTGTAGATGAAACAAAGATAGGCGGAGGGACAGTTTTAATCAAATGGGAAGGCTGTAGAAGGACTTGGACAGACTAGCAGAGCGGGCAAAGTGGCAGATGGAATACAATGTGGGAAAGTGTGAAGTTATGCATTTTGGTAGAAAGAATAAAGGCACAGACTATTTTCTAAATGGGGAAAGGCTTGGAAATCAGCACAAAGGATCTTGGGAGTCTGAGTTCAAGATTCTCTTAAGGTTAATGTGTAGGTGCAGTTGGCTGTTAGGAAGGCGAAGGCAAATGCAATGTTGGCATTCCTTCCAAGAGTGCTGAAATACAAGAGCAGAGATGTATGGCTGAGGCTGAATAAAGCTCTAGTCGGACCACATTTGGAATATTGTGAGCAGTTTTAGGCCCCGTTTATAAGGAAGGATGTGCTGGCATTGGAGAGAGTCCAAAGCAGTTTACAAGAACGATCCTGGGAATGAAGTGCTTGTCATATGTGGAACAGTTGAGGAGGTTAGAAGGATGAGGGGGGATCTCATTGAAACTCTCAGAATACTGACAGGCCTGGATACAGTGTATCTGAAAATGATGTTTCCACTAGGAGACACTTGGACCCGAAGGCACAGTCTCAGCGTGAATGGATGACCCTTTAGAACTGAGATGAGGAGAATTTCTTCAGCCAAAAAGGTGGTTAATTTGTGGAATTCATTGCCGCAAAAGGCTGTGGAGGCCAGATCTTTGAATGTATTTAAGACAAAGATGGTTAGGTTCTTGATTAGTAAGGGGATCAAAGTTTAAGGGGGAGAAGGCAGAAGAATGGGGTTGAGAAGCATGTCAGACATGATTGAATGGTAGGGAAACCATCGGAGAAAATTCTGAAGGAGAGAATTAATTTCTACTTGAAGAGGCAAGGTTTTATCAGGTCTAGTCAGCATGGCTTTGTCAGAGGGAGGTCATGCCTAACAAATTTGATTTTTTTTTTGAGAAAGTAACGAGGTACATACATGAAGGTAGTGCAGCTGAAGCAGTTTATATAGATTTCAGCAAAGCCTTTGGCAAGGTCCCACATGGGAGACTGATAAAGAAGGTAAAAACACATAGGATCCAAATAACTTGTCAAGTTAGATCCAAAACTTGCTTAGTGATAGGCGACAGAGGGTGGTGGTGGAAGGCTGTTTATGTGACTGGAGGCCAGTATCTAGTGGCATACCACAGGGTTCAATGCTGGGTCTCTTATTGTTCATGATATACATGAAAATATGCAGGATGTTAAATAAGTTTGCAGATGACACAAAGGCTGGCTGGGTGGCTGACAGTGAAAAAGAAAGTCTTAGGTTTCAGGAGGATATAGACAGATTGATCAGATGACAGATCAATAAGGATGGAATTCAAGCCTGAAAAAAAGTGAGAGATGATGCACTTTGGAAGAAATAACAGGACAAAGGAGTACTCAATGAATGCCCAGGTTAACAGCCCCAGTCAAGGATCTCACACTCTATGCGATCCACCTGGCCCTCACTCCAATCACTACACCCTACCTCTGGACCAGAAAGTCTGGGTTCAAGTCCCACTTGCTCCAGAGATGTGTTATAATATCTCTTTGAACAGATTGCTTAAAGATATTTTACAATTAGCAATGACTGCTAGAAATCATAAAACTGAAGGACCATTGTGAGGCCCACCTCACTGAATGGAATATGCCAAACAACCATCAGTTTAAACACAAATATTTCCTTTGGCTCAATCAACTGGCAATTATGGTGACCAGGCCTGCTTGACATTAGCCGTAGTACAAGAAAAATAGTAAAAGTATTTATCAGTCAAGAACAGATTTCTATCCTCCAACAGGATCAAATTCCACCCCCTTCACTGACTTGATGCATTTTAATTACTGCAAAGTGTGTCATCTTTTAAATGAGGAATGTTAAAAATCAAACTGCTGCAAGAATTTCATCTTGTTTAAATGTACTCAATTTGTTTTGAATGTTATGTTCAAACAATAACACTGATTATATAAGCAAGAGAAGCTAATCCAAGAGCATATAAATGTAAGTGATGAATTCCAAAGGAGTTAAAATTGTATAATTGCTGCTAATTTGGCCATTATCATACTGTCAGATTCCTGGCAATTGAATTAATATTTACATTTTGAACAAATTCATATGTAATTTCTACAAACACAAGTTTCTGAGCTGAAACGTAGCACATAGAATGAAACAGTGCTGATTGAATGTATGTCCATTTAGCTGAAGGAAGTGTCGGGAATGATCCCAGACATGAGCAAGTATAAAGCACAGTACTGCAAATGCTGCAATTCTGAAATGAAAACTAAAAACGTTGCAATTTTGCAGCAGGTCAGTTAGTCAATCCTGGGAGTGCTCAATGCCTCATATGGATAATGATTGGTCATAAAACAAGATTCATTTTCTTCAACATCATTCAAATATTCTTTGTTGGTGATATCAATGTCTCTTAAAGACAAAGGCTGTTTCTAAAGCAGCACTATTTTAAACTGTGGCCTAACCAGTGATTTGTAAAATTCAGGATGAACCTTTAGCCTTTGCCTATAATCCTTATTGTAAAGCTTCAGATCCCATGTGTTTTTTCTTAAAATAGAATCAAGTCAAAGCTGAGAGATAGTAAGAACTGCCGATTCTGGAGTCAGAGATAACACAGTGTGGAGCTGGAGGAACACAGCAGGCCAGGCAGCATCAGAGGAGCAGGAAAGTTGACGTTTCAGGTCAGGACCCTTCTTCAGAAATGGGGGAGGGGGAAGGAGCTCTGAAATAAACAGAGAGGAGGGGTGGGACTGGGGAAGGTAGGTGGGATGGTGATAGGTGAGTGCAGGTAGGCAGTGGTGGGGATTGGTCAGTGAGGTGGGGGGGGCGGATAGGCAGGACAGAAGACGGACAGCTTGTGTCTGGTCAAGGAGGCGGGGATGAGAGGGAGGGATGGTCATGGGATAAGGTTGGAGGTGGGGAGATTTTAAAACTGGTAAATCCACATTGGAGACCACTGGGTTGTCAGCTCCCAAGGTGGAATATGAGGTGCTGCTCCCCCAGTTTCCGGGTGGCATCACTGCGACACTGGAGGCGGCCCAGGATGGATATGTCGTCCAGGGAGTGGGAGGGGGAGTTGAAGCGGTTTGCGACTGGAAGGTGTTGCCGTTTGTCACGAACAGAGCGCAGGTGCTCTACAAAGTCTTCTCCGAGCCTCCGTTTGATCACACCTATGTAGAAGAGGCCACATCGGCAGCAGCGGAGACAGTAGACCGTATTGGCGGATATGCAGGTGAATCTCTGTCTGAAGGTTTTTTTGGTTCCTTGAATGGAGGTGAGGGGGGAGGTGTTGGGGCAGGTGTAGCACTTCCTGCAGTTGCAGGGAAAGGTGCCGGGAGTGGTGGGGCTAGTGGGGAGTGTGGAGCGGACGAGGGAGTCACAGAGACAACAGTCCCTGCGAAAGGCAGATAGGGGTGGGGAGCAAACAACCTGTACACAGCTCGCCCACTACAGTCCCTTTATCAGTATGCCTTATATTTTCCTCAAAAAATTAATTACTGTTGTCAGTAACTACTTGCTTTCGAAGAATACAAATTAATTGCCATAAATATATTTCAAAATGAGAATTAATTTGATGCGTTACGAAGAACGGTCACTGGACCCAAAACCTTAGGTCCAATTTCTCGCCACAGATGCTGCCACACCTGTTGAGATTCTCCAGCAATTTCTGTTTTTGTTTTAGACTTCCAGCATCCGCAGTTCTTTGCTCTGTATTCATGTTATGCTGTTGCCCAGCCTAAGAAGTCATTAAGACTTGCATTAATATAACCCTATTCATGATTATCAGAAGTCTCAAAGTGCTTTACAGCCTATGAAGTTTTTAAGTTGCAGTCACCATTGTAACATAGCAAACATAGTAAACAATTTGCACTCAAACAGCAATAGGAGAAAGATAAGAATCTGTTTTCATGATATCGAATTTTTTTTTTTATTAGTTCACGAGTGTCACTGGCTGGGCCAGCATTTATTAACATTTGAAATATCTGGCTTGCTTGGCCATTTCAGAAGGCAGTTAAGAGTCAAATCCATCCTGGAGTCTGTAATCATATGTAGGTCAGAGCAGGTAAGGATGACAGACTTCCTACCCTAAACGATATTGGTGACCCAGATGGGTTTTTCTTGTACAGCTATCGGCAGTGGTTAAATGGTTGCCATTACACTAGATTATTCTAATTGTAGATTTTTATTGATCCAATTCCACCATCTGCCACAGTGTTACTTGAACCCATGTTCCCAGAGAACTAACTTCAGTGTCTGTGTTACTAGCCCAGTGACAATATCACTACGCTACTGCCTCCCTGACTCTAGAACTAATATCAGTTAGGATACCAAAAATAACTCTTCCCCCCCAACCCAGACTTCTTTGAAGTAGCCACTTTCATTCCTTTCCAATAAGGTGCTGAGAGAAATGTAGAAGTTGAAGAGATCTGGAATGATATGTGTAATGTGAAAAGGAGATTGTAAAGGAACTTGAATATGGTAGAACAGAAACAAAAATAGGTCATAGATCAGGAATACAAGAAAAGAGTGAGAGGGAATTACTGGAAGTATTCTAACCTTGCATTAAATATCTGAAAAGCAAACTTATTCAAAGTCATATTGATTGATGCGATTTCATAATTTCTTGCATGACAAATGCTACCAAATACAGTGAAAAGATTAATGAGCACAGGCATATGTTATAATCAAAAATTGGCTCTTTGTCAACATCGAATTTTTTATTTTAGTTTAGGTTTGAAAGGTTGCCTGTTAATGAAACAAGCTGGACGTATGAGCATCCTTTTACCATTCTCTGGTTTCAAATGTTTGTGCAATGAACAGGGACGTCCATGTTCTAAGGAGTCAAAGCCAATTGTAACAGGATGAAGTGATCTTTCTACTTACATATTACACACCGGCCAGCAAAGATTCCTTTCAAATACTGGAAGTTGAGAACGGTGCCAGCACCCTGTCACAAGTCGGTACACATACGTCCGAGATAGAGCCCTGAATCGAGCATTGAAATTATCAGCCACTCGAAAAGCTTTTATGACACTGCCGAGAAATGTTTTTGAAAAATAAAATCTGTTTCAGATTCAGGATACTAATCACAATTGAAAGACAGTCTTATTAGTCCATTGTTATTCACATTAATGGGCATAAGCTATGATTAAAATTCATTATTGCAAATATGTCTTTTTTTTTTGCAAATATGTCTTGTCAGTAACAGTTTAAGATAAGGCTTATCATATAGGCTTTGAGGTATTTTTCCCCCAAATACTTATACAAGTCCAGCAAGCAATTATATTTAATAATCCTGTAACAAAAAACTATTAGCTAATCCTTTACACAACAAGAGCTGTGAGAATCTCATACAGCTTATATAAAAATATATGCATTAGTTTTTAAAAACCTTGTCCATGCCATACACTTCCAGTTCACAAACTTAAATTTCCTGTGTCATGATTTGGACTCATGGTTTTTATATCCATATTTAACAGTAAAAATACAGCTAAGTATTTAGGCCCTGCTGAAATTAGAAACAGAGACAAATGAGGCCTGAAGGCATTAGTCAGTTACTGACATGATCCCAGCACCAGCCATTTTGGTCAAGCCTGGTTAACTATAGTTCACCAAGACAGACTTGGATTCTCCAGTCAGTATCCAGTTTCTAGACCATGTGAGGTAGGTAAATAGTTTAACAGTTTGGAGGTACAAGCCAGAGGGCCAGCGCTACAGGCAGATCCTTCAACACTCTCCCTGTCTGTCTGGGTGCAAGTGCAGCCAAAGATTGTCCAGTATGAGAATTTTCCCTCCCTGCACCCCTTAATATTCAAAATAAGGTTTCAAAATACTTACGTAAAATTGTATTACACAGTAACATTTATTCACTGAAATATCATTTATTTGCATACTTTTGTATCGCCGAACTTCAAAGTCTCAGCATTGGTTCGGACAATCAGCTAGCTTTAAATAATGAACCTTCAATTTCAGAATTTTTAAACCATAGCTTGGGATCAAGCTCCACTTACTCCATTATTGCCTGAAAATAGGAAATGTGTAGCATTTGTACCTTCCTCTTTTTACAGCACGATGTAATGGTCAGACAATCGTACTGTTGTGACTGACTGGAGTAGTGCACTATAAATCAAGCCTTACAATTCCCACAAAAGTTAAAAGCTAATTAAATTCCCAAAAATCCCATATTGTTGCTGACTGACTGCTACCCAGGATAAAAGCAAACCAAGGTTCCTTCAGCGTCAACAGAAAATAAACTACTTATCGAAACACTCAACTTCAATAAGAACACTAAGAAGAAAAGGATTTCTAATTTATGTATCTCAAACTAAATCTCCTTTTAAAATTCCCACAAGCGTAGAGACAAAGAAAAAATAAAGACAACAGATAAACATTGAGTGGGAGGAAGACAATTGTCATAAGAATACAGTTATGTATCATTAGCCACGTCATCCAGTGAGTTGGTTTCACAATCCTCTCAATTTTATCTGCACAATGATTATCAGTCTGCAGCTTACTCGTTGCTTGGTTGGACCCAGGGTACTACTTGGTTTTTTGGGTTTTGGAATTATTTCATTCAGCATCTCAGAAGTGTTTGTTCTGTGGTTCTGACAGAAAATTTGAGAGAGCAACTTTACAGTGAAAGGTGGGGGCGAAGAGAGAGGAAAACTGATGCAACTAATTTCTGGCAGTCATCTTGTCTCACTCACCTCAGAATCTGTGTTAAACTACAATTTGACCAGATGGTTGTTGAAATGCGGAGTTCTCCTGAACCCACAAGAAATAGTGCCAGTTTGTCAATGGTCCACAATTTAACAATATCCCACATGCACTATTTAGCTTTGCTTGCTTTTTCAAAGCTTCGAACAAATACCTGTACATTCTCCTCTTTTAAAAACAATGTCAATTTTTCTCACACTCTGTCCATAGCCCAAAAAAAGGTCGTCTCTTACATATAACAGCCATTGAAATGGACATTGGACTTTCATGCATTAAGGAAGAGCTCTGGGCTTTGATACCATTTGGAGATAGAATTTGGGATTTGGCAATTCAGGACAGTAGAATCAGAATGGAACAAGATGAATGGCTCATTCAGAGAGCCACTGTGGATACAACGGGCTGAATGGCCTCCTTTCGAGCTATAACAATTCTGCGATTGGGATGTTAAGCTGACTGGAGTATTTCCAAGATTGGTCAGCGGTGGAGGGAGAAGTTCAAATGTCAGCACAGACAGAGCCTCTGGATCGAACAGCAGCAACAACAACAACAACTCACATTGATAAAGCACTTTTAACCTAGTAAAAATTCCCCAAGGCACCATCACAGAAGGATCAGCAGATGTTCCAGCATTTGCGTCCAAGTAATTTCTGAACACATTGAATTCAGCATTTTGCTAATTCTCGGACGTGTCCCTTGGCTTCCCAGCTGTTATTTATCAGAATTTGAACATCGACTTTTAACAAACATGACTGTTGATAATCAGAGCCTGTTGGGTTTCCTGAGGCACTTTCAAGGAAGTAGATGTTGACAATAATAACATGGATTATCCCACAAATGGCAACTTAGCTGCAGATCAATTTTTAATTTAATTCTGGGATTTATGGGCTTTTGTCACCCAAAGTTAGTAAGGGATATGGAGCACAGGCAGGTATTTGAAGCTTGGTTGCAGATTCACCATGATCTCATTGAATGATGCAAAAGGATCAATATTAATGCCCATCACCCCCTCCTCTGGATGGATGGGAGAATGTTGGTTGAGAAAGGAAATAAAGAAGAACTTGTCCCAGTCTGTTACGTACATGCCTGCTGTCATTTTCCTAGCTTTAGGTTTTAAGGTGTTTGGGCATCGGCGAGATGAGACTCCTCATCAACATAGTGAACTTGGGCTCTCGCAGTGACATTGAAAGTGTGATTTAAAGTTTACAGTTGCTACGTTGGATTTCTTCAGCTCAGGAATCCTGGCAATGGAGGCAAGGCAAGAGCTGTTGGCCCTCCAGATCAAGTGTCTTTGACAATCCTCCTGGTGTGTGTAGGAGGAGTTTCAGCCCCAGGGCTGCTTCAATGCCTTTGGCTCTTTACCCTCAATGAAAATCCTTCCTCCAGCTCCATCTGATGGCTAGGCTTCGCCAGACCCAATGGCCTCTATCTCTGACCCAACCCACCTCACCCTCAGACTGAGTTGCGAGCTTTTAAAAGATTCGCAAATGAGCTGTGGGCTTTGCTGACTGGATCAGCATTTGCTCACTATTCTGAATTGCACTTTAACTGTGAGTTGCGAGTCTATTTCTGTGGGTCTGGAGACATATGAAGACCAGGTAAGAACGGTAGGTTTCCTTTTCTAAAGGGCATTAATGAACCAGATGGACTCAGCTTCTCCTATTAACTTGTGTGGCTGCTCCCAGAGTCATTCACTACCTGTTTCTCCAGCGCATGGCTGGACAAATAAGAGGGAATGTTGGCCACAGCCTCCCCAGATTTTCTCCAGAAACTTCACTTTATAGTTGAATCTTTTACCATTTAGCTTCACTAGCATGGGACAGGCAGGAATTCCTTTTCCATTCGTCTGTTCTCTCCATTTTTTAAAAAACTCTTTCATGGGATGAGGGGTGTCACTGGCTAGGCGGCATTTATTGCCCATCCCTAATTGCTCAAGAGGGCAGTTAAGAGTCAACTACATTGCTGTAGGTTTGGAGTCACATGTAGGCCAGACCAGGTAAGGATGGCAGTTTCCTTCCCTAAAGGACATTAGTGAACCAGATGGATTTTCCAACAATCCACAATAGCTTCACAGTCATCATTAAGATTCTTAATTCCAGATATTTATTTAATTCAAATTCCACTATCTGCTGTGGGGGGATTCGAACCCAGGACCCCAGAATGTTATCTGGGTCTCTGGATTAACAATCCAGCAAGAATACCATCAGGCCATTGCCTCTCGGTCATCAAGCTTCTTAAAATCTGATGCTGATTGAACGAACACCATTACCTCCTATACATTATCACACATACATACAGACCAAAACATCTGCATATGAATAGGTATCCACACAGATACAAATTATGAGGGAAGCCAAGACAGAAGTGTAGATTCTTACATAACCAGGTCTAAAAAGCAGAGACAATTCCATTGCTGGCATGATGTAATCCTTCAAAGCACCTTTACTACTGTCCAAAACAGTACATTGCTGTGGCCTAATCAACACAGAATCATCAATACCTCTTCACTTTTGCATTCAAAATTCAGAACCTGATTTGTCCTTTTTAAGACTTTTCTTGCCCCAATCCTGTTTGTACATCTGTTCCTTTAGATCTCTGTTCTTCCACTCCAATGATTCAGGGTATATTTCCAGACCCTCGCCTTCTTTGTAAAATATATTGCTTTGCATTCATTTACACTGAACTGTAATCCTCAGGCTCGCCACATATCTTGTCAATATCCATTTCCCTCCATCCACCATCCACCACCACCCCCCGTACAGTGATGTTCTCCCAGTTTGCTGGGGTTCAGTTGAAACAAAGTGGAGATAAAAAGGTCCATTTGCACCATAGAGGTTGGTCCACCCTGACTTCCAATACCAAATCCCTGTTCTACTGACTTCCTAAGCCAGGCAAGCTGTGAACCATACCCATAGGTACAGGGATGAGTTAATTTTACCCAGATCTGCAGGAGTAGCGTACGCATAGTGTGAGTGCTTTAGAAATGGAAGAGTCAGCTTACAAGCTAATATTGCACAGGCAAATATTTGGGAAAACAGTGCAAAAGTTATATTAATATTATTCCAACATTATTGAAAAATTAAAAATCATTAACAGAAGCAACGATGATAGGAAGAAAAACGGTTTTACAGAGCGAGTGGTTAGGATCTGGGTTGCTCTGCCTGAAAATGTGGTGGAGGCAGATACAACTGAGGTCTTCAAAAGAGAACAGGGCAACTATCCAAAACAAAGATATTTACAAGCCAAGGGGAAAAACAGAAGAATTGGACAAGGTGAGTTACTCTTCCAGAAAGCTGACAGAGACACAACGGGCCAAATGA